ATATGTTAAGAGAGAGTACATGCCTTGCTTGTACTCGTCACACTTTGTAAATTAAATTATTCCAATCCATGACCATAATTCTCTTCCCATTTTAACATAAGGTACAGTGGCAAAGGGTACACAGATATTACACAGCCTCATTCAATTTCTACCTTGCCTCCACGATACCCATCTTAAAGAATAATCACTCCTGAGTAAAGAACATCCACTCCTAGAGCAGTGGATTGCTTTTTTGCAAGTCAGTGATAAAAGGTGTTGTAAATGGATGCACAATGAGCAATGTCTTAGATACAGGACAAGGAATCAAGAACAAGAAAAGCTGACTTTCTGGCTTACAAGACATATAAGGCTAAGCAACATATCTGGGCAACCCTAGCTTTTTGAACAAAGCCTTTTCGTGCAGCTCCGTATTCCTACCGCCACGGACTGAGCAGGATGTGAGCTACCTACACCTGCCCCAAAGACAAACATTTAGCGTGCTTTTCAGTAAGAAATGCTTCCTTTGCCGAATTTCAAAACTCCCTTGTTACTCTGCTCTCAGGCTTACACATAGCTTACAATTGCCACTTGGTTTCTTGGGACATGCACAGCAGTTTTTTCCTTTGATCCTTCCAAGGGAGAGGCAGAATGCTCAGTGTCCTGCCCCCCTCTCTCATCCCTGCCCCCCTCTCTCATGACTGGCCAGCTCTGAGGGTGGGATGAGAGGGGCAGAGTTAGGGTTGTGCAGAGGTATGTGTTTCATTCCCCTGTTTTCAACTTTGTATGCTGCTAGATTAAACATTCTGAAAGAGTGCAAGTTTCTATAAAGAAACTTTCGCTCCAAAATAGGGAAGGTCTGTTTTTCAATTAATTAATTAACATCGAAGAGTATAAGCTCTTGCACAGTGAGATCCAACAAAGCATCTCCAAAATCAGAAAGCTGGATCAGACCGGGGCTTTGGACTCTACTCCCACACAATAAAACAACATTGGGTCTTTTATTAGTATTTTTTAAAATGTGCAACAAGATACAGCACTGAATCTGTTCCCTCTAAACAAAGGAAAACTGTATTCATTTTCGTCAGACTAGCACTTTGAAATTCCTCAAGATAAGACACATAAATAGATGAAGAATTATATTTGGCAATGAGTTTGGCATCAGACTTTAGATGTTTCATAGTTCTGGGCTGAGGAAATAAGATGAGTGAAGCCTCTAGAATCTTTCTGGAGATGTACTCGGAGTGTTTGGACATTTGACAGCACCACGTTCAAGGGAAGAAAAAAAGGAAATTGCTTATTCAAAACGTGAGAAAGGGTTGCATCATGTGACATGCCTGACATTTAAGTGATAATAGTGCTGTGCATAGGCTCTTTTGGCTTTGGTCTGACACGCAGGCTCTGCCATGGTGCAACTCAGCTCTGTCATGGTACAGCTGTGATGACTGAACCCAGAGAGCTGCGCCCTACCCCGCGTCTCAGGAACATATGGGCCACAGATCACCCAGCCTCTGCTGCGGGCTGGGAAAATGCACAGCGTCTCAGGCAAAGACCCTGCGAGCTCCCCAGCTGCACAAGGTGTCTATGCAGGCTGCGCCATCCTTTGGGATGCCATTTGCATTAGAGAAAATTGTGGCTAATTAGAAATAAACAGAAAAATGCTTGATTTACAAAGAAATGTGTGATTTTGCCAGCTAATTTTTTTTCACTCTCTTTAACTTAACATTCACAGAATACACTGATCATGCTAATGCTTCACTATATTCATTAATAAGGACAATTTACATTTATATAGCACCTCTCTTAGTTACGAACTCCAAAGCTTTCAGCAAAATATACACAAAAAATTACATCTATTTCACTGAATACAGTCATCGTTGGAATGAAAATCAACAATTGTGAAGCAGTGCAGAAGAACGTTACTAAACAGTTGCAAATAAAACCCAAAGCAAGCCCCCCAAAAAACCCAAAGCAAAAAACCCTGAGGTGCCAGATGCAAGTGTAGGTAAAGGGGGTGTTAGTATGCAAAGAGCACTGTGAAACAGGTCCCTGTGTGCCCTGAGGAGCAGTGCTTGGAGGCAGCAAACGTACTTCATAATGATTAAAGCAACAGACTCCATACATGTGCAGCCTATTGCTTTTCTGTGTACTGAAGGAGATTCTCAGTTTAAGCTGCAAATCTACTGCCAATAATGAACCAGGAACATTCAACAGATCTGGTGATAAGAGAAGAGAAGGTGAGCAAGCATACGTAAAAGGTGAACAGCACTTATCTGACCACTAAGCTTCTTACTTTATAAATGGCCTCTAAATTTTAAAAGGCATTAATCATGATAATACATTCTTCTGCAAAAATAAAACGAAATAAAATAAAATAAAAATGAACTTCTTGTTTCAAATGATGAGTTTTAATTCTCTATCATAATGACACATAACTAGAATTTCCAGATTGAAATGAAATAATCTATTCTCTGTGTTCAAATCTCCCTTCTACCCCAAAAACTCATTTACTTTAGCCACTGATCAAGTCTCCACACATTATATGACAATTTGAGAGTCAGAGGTGGGAGAAAAAGCCATCCATCTAAAGTAAAATTAATAGCGAAACTTTGAGAGAGAGCATGCATGCGTTAGAAGACCAAAGCATGAGCTATTACATGACAAATGTGTTGATAAATGTTCAGCCCTGCAACACAAAATAACTTTGGTTTGGCTAATAAGCATCCATTATAGCTCTTTCCCATCATTTTGAGGCAGATGAGGTAGTTTTCATACTTGACCCTTGAAAGCAGCTTTGTTTTTGTAATTAACATGTTATCAAGGGACTTTTCTTTCCACATCTCTTTCGCCTTTCAATCCTCTCCCTTTAGCACAGAAAGATTTCCTTGCCTGAAGTTGCTGCTACACTCAGCAAAGGCTGGCTGAGACCTCACGACCCGCTACGTAAATTCACATAAAATTATTCACGTTTGGCACATTTCTGCTGGTGAATAACAAGAACCTTTTTGTCTCTGAGACAAAGGAAACAAAGATTTAAAAAAAGAACAAAGGCAGCCTAATAAGTATCCCACATTTCCTATTTTTTTTTCCTAATCTGGTTAAACAGCCTCTACACGCCTGAGAAATTCAACAAAGCGAAGTTGTTGTGGACTGTTTGTCTTTCAGTACAGAATCAACACAGATGGAATGGCCTCTCAGCGTGACTTCTGATCAGAGGCTCAGATATGAGGTAACTTTTCTTGCCTGTTAGATGTTTTTGGTTTAGTTTTTCACTGAGTTACGCTATCGCACAATTACAGCTAAAGCTACACTAAAATCCGGGATCCCAACACCAAATCCAAACCTGGTTGGGACTTCAGCCTTGTCCACATAGCAAGCCAAGAGCTCCTTCACTGTAGTTACAACTGCAACACAAGCAATCAGATGAAAGAGGCTGGAGGGAAAGACTTGAGCATTTCTTTTTGTTGCACGGAAAAACCAACACTTCAAACCACACTTCAAAATGGATACATTTTCTGAAGGGAAAGCCATAAAGTTCTGTTAGAACTGAAATTAAGAAGCAATCTTTACAACAATAGCTTACACCAATTGAGTTATATCTGCACGTATTTATATTTGAAAAATAAATGAACTTGTATTTAGGGGAATTATCAGATCTTAGTCTACCGAGTCAGTATGAACTCAGTTTCTGATCCCTTCACTATATAAAAATGTTCATGTGACTTCTGTGACAATCGTCTCAAGACTTTTCTAGTAAAGCAAAACCCACTAGATGGGAAAAAGCTGTGATCACTACTTCTCATTTCACCCTCTTCATCCTTATGCAGCAGAAGAAGAGTTAGTAATATGGAACAAAAAATTAATAAGGTCACTATGTGGAAAGATCTCTACCATACTGAATTTAGGTGAAAAAGAGGTACTCGGCCCATTCCTGCTACAAACTTAGATTTATGTCAGAAGTGTTTTATTACTATTTATACCAACGACTCAGTAGATACTTTTAAAGTATTATGATGCCATAAACTAAAACACTCCTCTGTCTGTGCTCACATATTTCTCTAAAATTAACCAGTGTGGCATCACATAGCACAGACTGAGGCTATGGGGAGACACTACAGATTGCAATATGAACTCAAAGCGTGAACAATTCCTCCAGTCCCCCATGTCTTACTCTGTCAGCTCTACTTTTCACATAGACTTGTGTATCTTGCCTACACGCTCCTACGTTGGTTTGAAAAAACTAAAATCGATATATTAACGCCACTATAGTAACGAAGTGTTACGTTCTTTTAGCCCCAAATTCCAGAAGCAACCAGTTTTAAAATCACCATAATGGCGGGTGCATCATCAACACAAAGGAATTTCTGTTTTCTTTTTAACCCAGGGAAAAACTTGAACATCTTTCTTTAATGCTATCAACCTGGAAGCTTGACAGTAAGGATTAAAAATGGCTCTTTCCTTCCCACTTGGTTATTGGAAAGGCTGTGAAAGGCAATCAGTCTTGTGAAGCCACACTTCACGGTCTGCATAAAAATGCCATGATTCCCAGTCCTCTCCCCAACCTAATTGAAAGTGTGTAATACCACACAGCTGGGGAAAACTAGACCATAAACATATGCAATACATCATGCTATCATACAAAACCTGTTACTAATAGGCACTTGATGATCAGCAGAATTGAAAGGGATCTGCAAACAGATTATTTTTGCTGCAGGGTAAGAACTTTTCCCGATTGCAAGGGGAAAAACACTCTCTCAGCAGTGCAGGAATTGGACTGGAGTCAGTTCATTCATTCTCTTTGTGAAATATGGACTTTTCTGTAATGATTTCTGTTTGACTGCTGCCTTGCTCACACGCTTTTGGGTACTGCTGCAGCAGATCATGGTTTTGGTTTAGAGAAAATCCATGTCCTTCTAGTCAGTAAATACAGGGAGCTTGGGGCATCTGAACAGCCCCCCCCACCTAGCGCCAGCCACCCTCCCCACAAAGCAATCGCTGTTTGCAATGCCAGGTGGCAATATTACCTGTCACCAGAAGTCTGTGGGTAGTGCTGCTTATTTATTTTTGCATACAGTCCTTCCAAGTGCTCCCTCTCCATTGGTGTTGAAGGAGAATCCCGTGGATATACAAAGGTTTCTGCTACTGCTGGTGATGATGGCCTGTAGCTGCCTGCTGCTGGGTAAGCCTCTCGGAAGTGGTTTACTCTGGCATAATTTGGATCCACCTCATCATCATCAATGTCAGGTCCTGCAGACCCAGTGGAATAATCGCTCAGGCCTCTCAGTTGCTTTTGCCGTAACTCCTGATGTTTTGCACCAATCCTAACAACGAAAAAGAAAGGAGAAACATACAGTTGGATCTGCTTCAACAACAACCACAGACACTGCTTCACCACACAAATTTGGAGAACCAACCCCGGAGCCAACAGTTTAGATCTTCCAGTACACTGTGAAACCAGTGCAAGAAATAACAAAATTGTGTATGCAGCAATTTTGTTCTTTATGTCTGGCACTCACCTTTTTAACCACCGTTGGTCATAATTCTGATGAAAAAAATTAATACTGAATATAGTGGTGGCTTTTCACAAGTGTGCACACGCATGTGTCTATGCATGAACACACACAGTTTTAATGCTACATCTACCCTCCACTTTACAGCTAATATACCTAACCTAATGCTGAAATTTTTTGCTAAATTAGTAAAACTGTTTCTGCCCCTTGGTCACTTCACCTCCCTAGATTCTCCTAAATATATTAACTTGTGAAAAGTAGATTAAATGTGAACGTAAATGGAGAGATGGCACTGTTGTTTCAAATCAATGGACCACAGCTAATTTGTTGAAGATTTAATTTATTTTTTTTTTAATTTTGGCCACATAGATGTGGAAATCATGCCCTATTATATAGGGGATAGAGACAAAGTAAACCAGTAAAGAATTTAATAGAAACCTGACAGAGATGAATTGGTACATATAAGTGAATTAAAGACTATTACTGGCAGTACTCCACTGTGATAAAGCCTTAAGTGGTATTACAAAACACTGCTGCTAATCAGTGCCATTGTGTAATCTCTTTGGAACAGTAAAACATATTCAGGTAAATTTTAAACTCAGAGGATATTCAATGATTCGACACTCATGCTGGAGAAAAAAAAAAACAAAACCACCAACAGCAAGGCTCCATGAGGGTGCAATTTCTGTTAACTGCTCAGTTACTCTTCAACACAGCATAATTAAATGCAGTGAGATGGCTCTGGCAGAATGCTGACCACAGTATGTAACAAATAGCATTTACAGAAAATAATGGAGCACCGAGGAGGAAACAAGGAATGGAAGACAGATACAGAGATGTAGTGCCCGACAGAAGTAGTCAACATTTGCTGTTGACTGTACCTGATGTACAGAAGCAGTGTAGAAAGAACAGCGAAATTTGTACCTTAGGAGAATAAGTAAAAAGGGTCTGATGGACCTGGTTACCACAGTAAAGTACAATGGCCTCAGGACTCTGCACAGTGAAGAATGAAGATGTTCTGGAGAAAGTCTTTAAAGGGCACGGAGAAAATGGTTCCCTAAAGAAAGAGATGAGCACATTGGGAGCTTCCAGTCTGACAGACAGGAGCTATTAACTGCAGAATGAGATTCATACTGTTTATTTTACTAGAATTGTATCATCAAAATAAATGCTAATACTTTTCAAATAATTTGCAGCTAAAAAGACTCACAAATAATTCTAATGAGAACACACCTTTCTACATATATACTTGAGTACATCAATATGTATCACATATGCTTTCCACTTACACCTCTCCATTAACTGTGCCAGGACACACCTAGACATGATGCTGGTTTTTAACATTCAAAATGTGCTCATTCTTTACAGAGGCATGAGTCTTGACAGCCAGTAGGAGCCCACTACCCGCTTCGCCTTCCCTTGGTGAAGCAGATGATCCTTCTCCTCTCTGGTATTCCCAGGTGTGCCCCACCTTGAATACCACGTGCAGTTTTGGGCACCTCAATGTAAGGACATCGAACTATCAGAGTGTGACCAGAGGATGGTGACCAACATGGTGAAAGACCTTGAGGGCAAGCCTTACAAGGAGTGGCTGAGGTCCCTTGGTTTGGTCAGCCTAGAGAAGACCAAGGGGTGACCTCATCACAGTTTACAACTTTCTCACAGGGGGCTGGGGAGAAGGAGCTGCTGATCATCTCTCTCTAGTGACCAACGACAAGGAGGAAATGGACTGAAGCTGCGTCATACTGGACATCAGTAAAAGTTTTTTTTCACTTAGAGGGTGGTTAGTCACTGCAAGAGGCTCCCCAGAGAAATGTCATGGCACCGAGCCTGTCAGAGTTCATGGAGCATGTGGATGACACTCTTAAGTCATATAGTTCAGTTTTAGGTAGTCTTGCAAGGAGGAGGGAGTTAGACTTGATGATACTTACGGGTCCTTTCCAACTTGTGATAGTCTACGATTCTATGAAATATTTTACTATAAGGACCACGTCAAACAATTATTTCTAACATAGCATTTCTGCTTTTCCTCAAGTTCCTGATCCCAGCCCAGTTAGCTAATTGCCTTTAATTTTTCTTAAGATATCATAAAAAAAATTGACAAAACCTCTTTAATGTAATTTGCTACATTATTTCTTAGACGTGAACGATAAGAAGAAATAAGGTACAATCTGTCTCAGGTTTCTACACTGAAGCTTCTTAAGAATTTCTCCTTTACTCTTTCTGGAGCTCCTCTTTCCTGCACAATCATCTCCTCGTCCTGTAACTTCTAACTCACTTTTCTTTCGCTTCAGGTTTTCATGTCTCACAAATTCCCTATTTGGAAATGAAATGGTAGCCTTGGTCAGTGCAACCCTAGCTGGGGTAAGGCAGTGAATGTCACAGAAGAAACTGCCAGTTCCCAGTAACTGCCACTTTGGTAGCAGTCCTTGCCTCCTATTATACTGCTCTTCTCCTACTAAAGTGCATAAACACTTTGAGATTGTTGCTGTCTTCTAGATTTACTTTAAAAAAGCACCTAATGTTCTTAAAAATCTGCAAAACTGTGGAGGGCTTCACGCTCAGCTGGAGACCGAAATCCCCTAAACACAGACTTCAGTGCAGGAATATAATCATATGAGGTGCAAGTTTGATGGCACAGATAGGTCCATGTGGGATGATGCAGACTGACAAATGGGAGGACACCGCATTGCAAGGAATGGTCTTATGACATGTGGGTGCAGAAGGCACAGCACACAGTCCTGAGAAGAGTCAAAGCAGTTTCTCAGAAAATGATGAGCCATAATGTTCTTTGTACCAACGCATCACCCATCCCCTAGGTATTTAAGACCAATTTGAAAGTAAGAGTAGTGCGACACAGCAGCATCACGTGAATCTTGCTTTCATGTCTGACAGTGAGAGCAATTTGTCCTGCTATCAATACTAGTCTATTCTGCACAAGAAAAGTTGGAATTAGGTCACCACAATTTTCTTTTGTTCCTATGAATAAACCTAGCTTCTTCAACTTCTCTTTCTGAATGCAATCTTCAATCGCTGCCACTATTATAAGTCAAACCTGCTCAAGAACAATTATTTCTGTTCTATATACTATACAGACTAGTCAATACCAGGTTATGTGAAATTCTTCATGATCAATGTTTCATCTTTTCAATACAGTTATTATAACTGTATTAATATTTCTTGTTTCCTTTTAACTCTTCCACACAAATCTATAAAATTTGCTCAGTGATCTCTCTTTCATTTCAAACCAAATTTTCAAATATAG